ACATGTAACACGACCAACATTCACTCCTCACCTGAAACCATCACTTTTCTTGTTTTGTAAATTCCCAGTCACGGCGTCATCTTACCTTCCGTTTCAGTTCGTCCTCCTCCTCTATCCTGGCACCGCCGGCATCGCTGAGCACAGGGCTCAGGAGAGGAGATGAACCCTGGCCGGCTGCGTTCAAGTTCACCTGGAACGCCGGGTTCAAGCCCAGGGGACTCTTGAGAACGAGGGAAGAGAGCTGAGGATGGTTCACTGGGAGGCCTGGGTGGGAAAAGAACGAGAAGATGGAGTGGGAAAGGAGAGAAAATGGTGTCCAAGATAGCACATCTAAGACGATTACCCACTGTTACTGTAAACCACAATTGCAATCTCACATTATTAAAAAAAAGGGAACAGAAAACAAACAAAAAACCCCAAACACATCCACAGACATCAGTTTGTATCTCAAAGCCAACGGAGCATTCCCTGCAGCCCAGCTCTTCCATGGCAGCTGCTAAGGACAGTCACCTTTATAACTATGTTTAAGGGAAAGGATAAATTGTTTCCTAAAAAGTGCTGAAATCCTGCTGGGTTTTGTTGAGTAGCAGCAGGGTTCGCAACACAGCATTATTCTGCATTAACGAGAACACAGCTTTTAATTTTTCCTCTTTTAAAATCAGAATCACTTTTCACCCCAGGGAAAAGCTAGGACAAACCATTCTACCACTCTCCACTTCAGAAAAAAATCCAGAAGATAAAGCTCATTAAAAATACATTCAGAAATCACGGAATCTCCAAAATTGCACTGATGGAAGAGAAAAACATATTGCTATACAATAAGGGAGCATGCAAGAGATTCCAGTCCTGGCTCTTCTAAGCACATGAATAGAATAATCTCCTCATCTCAAAGGAAAACAATTTTGCAGCACTGAGCATTAACTGGATGGAGACAATCCTCTTGCCCAGCAAAACTGGTCTGAAGCAGGAGTAACGCGCACTGCTTTGCTTTACATTATTAATTGTCAATTTTTTTTTTTTTAAGGTGTTATTTCATTTGTGGACCCTTTGCAGACTCCTGACATAGAAGGCACCATCCCACTGAATTTAAGCCTATGGCAGTTGCTGCTCTCCTCTCCTCCGCAGACTCCCTCAAAACAGCACACAGACACTTCTCGGGGTTCGCAGGGAAAACCACTGCTCAAGAACTGCTTTTTGGGACCAAACGAAGGCAACAGACACTCTGATTACTCACAAAATTCCTACCTAACCTCACCTTTTCTTTTTTCTGTTCTTCCCTACGACAAACAGACAAGCCTCGTCACATCAGGCAAGCGAAGGAGCACCAAGCACGCTCTCACCGTGCTGCCCAAACCCCCGGCCACGCTCACGGCCCTCCCCAGCACGACCGGTTGTGCGTTACGAGCAGAAAGTGAAGGCGACATCACCTGGCCAAAGGCAAACGGAAAAACCGAAACCAAAAATGCCAACTCATCCATTCTCAGGCTACTTAAAAAAAATCAACCCAAAATGCTAAAAAAATAAAAAAAAAGTGGATACCCAGTATTTCTGGGCACGGGGCACAGGCGCGGGAGGAGCAGCAGCCAGGGGCTCTGCGGTTCACCACGGGCAGGAGCGGCTGGGGGGCGCCCGGGCCGGGGGCGAAAAAGCCGCCCGGCCGCGGAGCGCCCGGCCGCGGGACCACGAGCGCGGGTTTCACCCTGACAAAGGCAGGAAGCTAAACAGTGCTGCGCTCGGTCACCTGGAAGAGATTCGGATCATCGGGGCTGCGGAGTTAACTATTAATACGCTAGGCAAGCAGCGGTATTCCGGAGAGGATTTCTCTTCCTGCCTGAGCATTCCTGGCATTCCCACTGCTTTGAATGTTAGCGGAGAAAAGCAACGCCTGGCGTTTGTTTCACCTATACGGGGACAGGAGTTTATGGGAAGTTTGCTTTTACATGTCGGGGACGCTGAAACAGCAGCTTAAAACCAAACAAGCTACGAGCTTATAGGGGTAGGAGCTTCTTTAAATTCTTGGAATTTAATGCCATGTAGCAACATGTTCCAAAATTTGTGACTTGAGTTGCTTCTGGATAGACGGAATCAGACACAAAAGGGCTGTAACCTGCTACTCGCAAACTCCGCCGCCTGCTCATTTCAAACCAGTTGTTCCAGTTTTTATCACCTCCAGCAGGTGAAGCTGGCCGTTAAGTTCCTTGCAAACACCTGCTTGTTTGTACCGACAGCAAGAACCCCGCTGCCCGGAGCCAGAGCGATCTGGGAAAACGAGAGGCACGTTCAGCTCCTGGAGAAGCCTGAAAGGAGCAGTAGAGCCCACCACGCAGAAGCACAGGGCTTCCCCTCTCCCCACGCCGGGTAGGGGGTAACCTACAGATGCCAACGCCTCTCGCGTCTTCGGGGGCAGGAGCACCCCTGCCCTGCACGCCCATGGCTAGAGAAGGACACCCTGCAGCTGCTGCTCACTTCCCCAGGACGAAAACAAGAAAGAATTCAGGAGGGAGCTGTGACAGCTGCAAGTCGTAACGGGCTGTCAACTCAAAGGGCAAATTCAGCAGGGGGACTTTCCGAGGTTCAGATTTTCTGAGGTTCATGTGAATTCTGGAATTTGCCTTTTCCAGAAAGGACTACAAAAGGTCCTGCAGCAGCTTGGGTTAGCTTTTTTGCTAACGTCAAAATGTTTGCTATCAACTCAGTATGACGACGCATCTTGGCAGATGACGTTACAATCGTGAATTCAAAGTTTCATTCTCCTCATCATCCAACAGCGTTTCTCCGCTAGAGCAGCACGGAGGGAGCTCACGGTCAAGCAGGTGAGACGGAGATGCTCCATTCTCCCAGGGAAGGATGGTAAAGGAAGAATCCGTGCAGCAGTTGGAGCAGCCGCTGCCAATTTCGACGGCTGCCCGGTGCAGAAAACTCCTGATCAGGTTGAAGTATCGGTGCGAAGATCCAAACAGGTAGATGACTTCCTCCGACATCACACCCTGGTGCTCCGAGGTCCTCCCTGCCCCGCAGGCAGCAGCAGCCTCCAGGCAGATTAAAAGGGACTGTTCTTTGAGCGGGATGTTTCCAAGTTCAGCATTCTGCGTGAAGTGGAAATTTATTTTCTACGTGTAAGTCACAAGAAAACCATCCCAGATGAGGACGCAGCAGTCAGGGTTTCCGTTCGGTGACACGGGCATCCAGTGATGTCAACCAGACCCCCACAGACACGGCTGTGTTCTGCACAGGACAAATTCCTGCTTTCACATCACGCACACAAACGCACTTAACTCGAGGCAACATCAAAAGAAGCGTCGGTTTGGTGTAACATTCCACATACTCCAAGACCTTTAAGAATACTGATAGTTCATTACACGGTGTAGTTATAACCATGCAAGCAAACAAACCCACAGCTTCATAAAAGGACCAGCATGTGTATAATTGGAGAAAGCAACAACAAAAAAAGTCAAGTCTAACAGTAAAAACACGGCGAAAGCACTGCAGTTCGCATGAACACAGCGATGGACTTCGGTGAGGATGCTGGCCTTGTCTCTCACAGCTACTGTGTAATATGGTCAAACTGGTTCATTATTGCTTCCGCTGCCTCTTCTTTTGTCCAGGTATAAAAATGCAAAAGCCTCTAATACATAAAACTATGATTCAATACAAATGTTTGTTCGCTCTACTTTTTACTGAGGGGATCATCAGTGTATACAGATGTGAAGGTTCATACTCAAATTTGGAAAAGAAACATGTTTAGAATATTACACAAAACCAGTCGTGAGAAGTTCGTTATGGGATTAGAAAACAACCTTAAGCCAGCTGCTGTAACCATCACCTTACCTTGTATTTTCTTCAAGAGTACGGCAATCCCATCCCTCTCACTGACACTATTACAGCTAATATACAATTTTTTCCTTTTTTTATTCCTCAATATATCTATTTAGTCTCCAGTATCCAAAATCCACTCTTATTTGCCTCGCTAATAGAAATACTACAGAGATCTTCTCTAACCTGTCGGGCATTGCGCAGGGAAAACAATTCTTTACCCCTTGCAAACTTTGGAGACGTGGCTAGTGAAGGAAAATTTTGGAAAACTATCACCCGACATCAATCAGCAATGCCAGGGAAAACAAGGAAGAAAGCACACAGCAGCCAGGTTTTAAGTCTGACTTGTAATTTGCTAAAATAAAAAAAAAAAAAAATATACATCACTGCGGCCATGGGGATGTTAACTAAAAAGATGAGAGTTTGATTATCAGATCCGAAATATCGAATCCAGAATCTGTCACACTTTACGTGCAGATCACTGGCTATCTGTTTCAGAAAAAGGGACGCACACAGCTCACAGCTCTGTGGGCTTCCCTCTCAGATTAACACAATTTCAAACAGGAAAAGCTCCTACTAGAGGACTTGGCCAGTTTGTTACAGTCCAGGTTTTGCTGATTATAATAATATGGAGTGGCTTTTACTAAAAGTTTAAGCAGAAGCAGACTGCATTTGGTTTACACTGAGATAACAAGCTTGATAATAAAATCATAAGCTTTTGGCATCCCTTCTCAGTTATTTTTCAGCGGATATTTCCATTCCTCAATCTAAATTCGATCCCTACACATGAAGTCAGACCTGAGTGCAAAGCTTGACAAGAATAAAATCAAGTACAGGTTGTGTAAGCGTTACACTCCAATGCTCAAAACCACTTAAAGGCAGACGACAAGAATAGCATCCCAATAACAAAGAGCATTACTGGATGGACTAAAAGTTACGTGAGCTTCAAACGTTAGCAACTCAACTCCTTATCATCTGCATTTCCTTGCTTTGTTTGCTTATCCTTGCATTTCACTGGTTGACTCCCTTTAAGGATGGAACTTTATTATTATTACCACTACTACTTCAAAAAGACGAGATACTTTTTCCGCTGAAGCCCTGCAGTGGCTGACCAGAAGACGACGGGAGCCCGCTCAGAGCCCCCTCCTGCCCAG